CTTTCTCCCACACTCTTTTCAGGCAAAGTTTTAGGGAAAACTTTAAGTGTAATGTGGAACTAAGTCTCACAGGTAAGCAGTAGGGGATGGAGGGAGACTTTATCCTCCCAGCATTCCAATGTCTTTACTTTTTACACTTCGGAAAAATACTTATTCCAAGATGCCTTGTCAGGTATGCTATTGCTAAAAGGAATATAGACAACATTATTATACCTTCACCTGTCACCAATGCACTGTAATGCTATGGAGAAGAAATTAGTAAAGACTAAAAATGAAGAGTGTGGGGTTGTCAAATGCCCTGGTATGTATCATCCCGTCTGACTTCACCATCTGGGACAGAAGTGAGATTCACATCGGAACCTCTTTGCAGAGGTGTTTTATCTCTCAGGGGTCTATCTAAGGGAAGCTTTGCAGCCCCGTGCATGATTAATGTGGAAATCTCCATAATTCTAGGACTGCTGTGACAATGGGTTACTTCCTGGTGAAAATAATAATGCCCAAAACAATTACAAGCTTTGCATGAGTGATTGTGCCAAGGACAAGACAACACACATCTGTGTGTTTTTCAGCTAGATAACTCAGCAATGGGCTGAGCCAGCCACACTGAGGGTTGAACTGGAGTTCTTCATTTATTCACAGAACCAGTTCTGTGTTTCCGGCTGCAGTGCAGGCTTGCTCACAGCAACCTGCCAGCATGTTTACACCCTGACCTGGAGCGACCAGCTAAGGGTGAGAATGTTGATTCACTCTCCATACCCATCTCATGTTTGGTTAGCTGGGGGATGGTCCTGGGGTTTAAGAATCTAACACGATATCCTCCCTGCTTATAGACAAACCCATGTTGTCTAGCGGCTCATCTACTCAATACCCCCAATCTTCAACCACTGTACACTGAGCATGAAAAGTGAAGAAGCTAGACACATTTGAACTCAAAGCCATGTCACTTAGCAACTTATCCAGCCAACATTCTGTTACAATCCAGAAACATAGGCCAAAACATGTTTTAGAGACAATGCCTCAGCGAATGCTACCCTCATTAAAGACAGTCATTTCTGTAAGCAAATACTCAAATATGTTAGTGCTCCTTCCTTACAACAGTCTTCTTAAAGGTGAGAATCTTATATGCAAATAAGAAAGAAGATGTGTGAGTCTGTTTAACTTTTTCAGAGATTCCAAAGAGAAGCAAATCTGTCTCCATCTGGGAATTCTTTTGACATGGGTTCATAAGTAAATGTGGCTACACCTCCCGCATGTCTGCTGGGAAAATGAAATGACAGGGATATTTTAAACATTTTAAATGGCCATTAAATATAAGTATAAAATATAGACTTTTATTATTAATTTGTCACACCAAGTACATGTGCTTAATAAATTTTCCAGGGAGTACAAACCATACTGCCTGGACTATGAGAAAAACGAGGTATTTTATCGGCTACCTATTTCTCTTGGTCATTTCTGGTCTTAGATCAGAAGAAAAGACAGTCTGGAGTAGCTTAGTGCAAAGCCTACCATATAATAAACTTGAATAGCTAACTCTTATTACAGTCCAAGGCACCATATTTTTCAATCTGCTTCCCATATGTACTCATATTGTACCCATTTCCATGGCTGGAATATACCAATAAGGGATACCAAAAAGGCAGAGCATCATCTGTCATTGGATGGCACTGGCTGTGTCCCTGGCTGTAAAACTAGCCATATGGAGCCCTGTCTACTGTAAGACAATTTGTCTCTATATCCAGGATTTATCTTCTGCCACAGACATCATTCCATTATCTGACTCTTTCATATCAAGGCTAGAGGAGGCTCAAATGTTGTCTGGGATGGGCATACTACCCTGCTTTCTCCAGCTGATGCCCATCCATCCTAAGGTCAGAGCCACATATTTACTTCTAGCTGAGCCAACACTACAGCTTGATCCCTCATTGGCATTCTCTTGGCTCTTAGCAGATCTTTAGCCCACTGTCACACGTATGGATTGAGATGGGAAGGAAGGTTTGGTTATAAGCGACCCTTCAACACCTTCATATATCAAAACATTCTGTAAACACAATCTGCTGGCCCTATCTCAAGGCTTCCATTTCATTAGGCAAAGATGGCTTCCTGGGCAACAGCCTGGCATTCAGAAGGAGCTCTTGTTTGTTGTAGCAACCTCTTTTTGCCATCTTGACATTTTTCATGTTATTTAGCACGTGTCCCACATGCTTAATTCACAATAGGTTTCACGATTGAGTCAGCCAATTCAAAGTCCAAAACAGAGCTTGCAAAAACACATTTCAAAATGATGGAGATGCAGCACTACAAGGGAGAGCATGTCTTCATTTTGAATTTTTGCAAATCAACTTGGAGGAAAGAGGAAAGGGACAGGACCCTCTCTCCTCCTGATCTAGCCAGATCCAAAGACAGAAATGAAAATGGAACAAACACCAGTAGATCAACAGGAATTAATGTTTCAGTCATTCTTGATTGCCTTTGTTTTGTTTTCCTTTCACCAAACCATTAAACATGATATTAGCTGTTCTGCATTTTCCCAACAACTAATGTAAGTATAATTCCCCTCTGTACGACAACATCAATGCAAGTGTCTGAAGCATCTTGAAGAAGTCTGTGTAGGTGAACAGTGTCATAGAAAGTAATCTGAGAGCTGGAAAGAAGGAAACAATGGGAAGAGTGATAAGTTGAGTTGGTGTTGCAAAATGTAAAAATACCCCTCACGCATTCGTGCAACAACTCACATAGGTCCTTTGAGTGTTTTAGCCATCATAGCACACAGAAATGCATTATTTATGACATAGTTCATGGTAAGACAGGGTAAAAATAAAAACCTAGGCTTTCTGTAGAAACTTCAAATGCTCCCAATATAAAGACTTGAGAGAAATTTCTTCCCTGAAGTCTCTCATGTTTGCTCATAACTACTGGCTGAAAGTACATTTACGACCATTGCCCTGAATGTTTGTCTTCTACATTCTTGTTAAGAAGAAATGTGCAAGACATAAGCTGAAAATATTGTTTTGTCTATGAACTGAGATATGACCACCTCCAAACATCCCCTCAATAAGAGAAGGCAAAATCCAAACAACACATTGTTTCATTTCAGGTGGGCTTATGAATTAGGCAATGACTTAAAGACATTTGCATGAATAACTGAAAAAAAATGTCACCTAAGCAGGGGAAACTAATAAAATCAAGCCTAATGATGCAATCCATGGCCCTTCTGGTTCTGGATTGAACTCCGTAGAGTTAAACTGTGTAGTTTAACATAGTCACGTCTCGTGTTCATAATAAACCTTTTACAAGGAGAAAGGTTATTTGTCATCATGCTTCCCATGACAATAGGCAAGTGCCCAATTTGTATGAATTTGTGTTCTCCTACCTAGAAATAAAAAAGTTTTTTTTGTTATTGTTATTTGTTACTTTTTTTTTTACCCCTTTAGTTAGATATAGTGGTTAGTTTTCTCCCCCTTTTCCAGCAGAAGCTGTTAGGTTATTCTTATTTTTAATTTTCCTTCCAATTCATTGGTAGCCTACAAGCCTGGAAAATCATCTTCATGGCTGTCCTTTGGCTACTGCCCATAAGATTATGTGATATCAGTTTAAAGAGGAGGCAAGCAAAGGTTTTATTTATTCTTTGCGGGTAGGAAATGTCCTCAGCAAAAGTGCCAGAGTTCAGGCTGCCTCAGTAAAGGCATGGCATATCACAAATGTCGGGATGTTTTTCCCCTGGGTGCTAACCCTTGCTGGAAACCTGAGATAAAGCTAGGGCCCCTATGAATCCACTTCCTTCATTTTGCATACCAAAAACAATTTGGCTAGGAGAGGATTGCTCTGGTGTGTGTTTACCTTCTTTAAGACCACAAAGGATTTGTTTTGAAAACTGCAACAAATGGAAACCAAAGACTCAGTAAAGAGAAGCAAGTAGAGTGCATGGGGGTGGGGGAAGCAGAAGCACATTGTGAAGCAGTTAATCAACCTGTGATCATTTCCCTTTAAGATGTCAGGGCCACTGTTTTGAGGAAGGTAGAAAATAAAGATGGTTCCAGGTAAGACTTTGCCCAGTCCCCCATCCCCATTTCTGGTATTCTCATTTTTCTGTTCCATTTACATTTTCAGTGTTGTTTCTGTTTGCTAAGACAATTCATATGTGCAGATGCTGATATTATGTAAAGTGATGTTGTAGATTACACCGTGGATGTACTAATGCCTTGCAAAATCATGCCCTGTGTATTTACATGCACTGGGCTTTTATTGACAGTAATTTAACTTTTTAGCCACCTTTTCATAGATAAGCACAGATTTCCACCAGTAGCACCACTGCCTTCATCTCAGGAAGAATAAATTTATATGCTAAGTCTGCTGAAGGAAAAGATAAGTTTTCCCTAAAGCCACAGTGAACTGTAAATTTGAATTCTTTTTCATTTAGGAGACTGAGGAAGGTTAAAAAAAAGAGAGAGAGAGAGAGTCACCTTTTTCTTTTCCCTGTTTAATAGTGACGCCCAGGCTTTAACTCTTAAATATAAGCAGGCATCAGTCCATGAAGCACTTTTGCAATGCAAGGCAGTGACAGGGATCCATCTCTGATCATGTCCTGGTTTTGTTAAATCAGTTAGGTTTTATTGCTCTCTGCCAGTAGGCAGCCTTGGCAAACATAGGCATGTGTTTGCTTCATCTCCATCCTTCCAATTGACCTTAGTTTTGTAACATTTGTTAGGCTTTACTGCTCTCTGCTGGTTGCTCTTTGGCAACTACAGTAAATCTTTATTTTTCCCTCTGTCCCTTCCTTTGAGGGCTGACCTTTCTTGCTACATTTGTTGTGTTTTACTGCCATCTTGTGATCATTTTATGGAAAAGGCTTTCACATCATTGATGGAGATGCATTGGATCATTGCTCAAAATGTCTTTTTGTTTCAGCCTCCATGTCCATGTATTCAAAATATGCCCTTGGCAATTGTGTAATGTTTGAATATGATCATACTTACAAACCTGTAATTATCTCATGCCAGGAGCTCTGACATACTTCAGTCGGAAGTTTCATTTTCCATGGGAGGGAGGCATTCATCTACAGATTCCAACAAGGCCTCCAGTGGAGACATCTCCCCTTATGACAACAACTCCCCAATACTATCTGAGCGCTCCCTGCTGGCTATGCAAGAGGACGGGGCCCGGGGGGGCTCAGAGAAGCTTTATAAAGGGCCAGAGCAGTATACATTGGTGGGCCACTTGCCGTTGCCAAAGTTGAAGTCAAGAGAAAGTTCTCCTGGACCAAGGCTTGGAAAAGGTAACTGAATCTTGGTGGTTGGGACAACCCAATTAATTATGGCATGAAACATGGGGTGGGGCATTTTGGACTTTCCTTCTCAAGCCTTTGTTTGATATTTCTGCAATTAAAAAGACATGTACTAAGTGTCTGCTAAATACATGGGATAGGAAGAAAGGATTGTAACCCCAAGCATTGATTTAGAAGGTCCCTTCAACCTCTGATTCTCAAATATCTGTGAAGTGAGCACATGTCATAGGAGCCACTCATTTTCCCAATTGACCTTTTCTTTTCAGCATTCAGAGGAACCTCTGTATCTCTACCTTGCATACATGTTGTCTAAATTGTCACTCAATTATTACTTCTGTCACTTCATAAAGAAAAGGTGCTGAACCTACCATACAACAGTTCAATGTACCAGAACCAGGCAGTGTCAGCATCCAAGGACAAAAGCTGTAGACTGAAAATCACAGTGATGTTCTGCCACTTCTAGCTAGCAGCATCTCAGAGGAATAACAGCGCTACAGAGGCCAATGGACTCCAGATAGGATAACTAAGAATGGTACCAATGTCCCATGTATTGGATTTCTTTAGCGAATCTACATGCAGTCAGTACTGCAACACTTAGCATGGAGTAAGCCCTGGCTAATCTGTGCTGTGTAACCTTGTAGGTACTTCTGGTCTCTTCTTGGAATGTCTTAGTCTATCTCATGATCTCTTGATACCCTCTAAGCAGTGGTTCTCAACCTGTGGGGAAAAGGGAGGAAAGTGAAAACACACACAGGATTGAATCTGCTGATTCCAATAGGGAAGTGTCCCTGGGGGATGTTCAGAAGCCAACACTACTGTCTCTGTATGTCTGTGTACCTGTAGCTGGAGCCCACGTGGCCATCACCAACTGCACCCTTGTGTGAGTTTCCTACTACTTTTATCACCAGCAATGAAATCAACACAAAGATTAGCCTTCTTATAATTTGAGAAATCAGAAATCACATTGGGTGCTCAGGGTTACTTTATGTTTTGGAGGATCTAGGGAACCATCCATTTCCTGCCCTTTTCCTAGCTTCTGGAGAGGTAGTCTCATGGCTATTTCTTCCATGTCTGAAACTACCAACAGAGCAACATTTTTTTCACTTGCCTCCGTCGTATAGGGACCCTTATGATGACATCAGAGCTGCCCAGGTCCTCTGGGAAAGTCAATTTACCTTAAGAAACAGGAGTGTATGCAAGTTTCATGTTTAGACTGCCTGGGGGTTAAGACACCGAGTTAGTAGATATTAATTCTGTTTATCAAAAATATGATATAGAAAGCTTTTTTTATCTATTATTTTTTTCTATCTATTATTATCTATTATTTTTCTTTCTATTATTCAACACAATAATCTGTTGCAGGTAGTGGTATTTTTTTTATTTTTTAATCTGTCCCCAAGCTCCCAGAAAAATTACTCATGATACCCAAAATATTAGTTACCAACCTGGGCCATACAGCTAGGCTCTTCTCTAACTAGCTCAAACTTAATAACCCATTTATACTAATCTATACTCTGCCACGTGTGGCTGCTTATGTGTGCTCAAGTACCATGCACGCATACTCCTCACATCTTTCCAGCTGAATCTTCTTTCACCTGGCTCATTCCCAGAATCCTCTCTGCCTACCAGATGTCCCACCTCCTATTTCCTACCTAAGCTATAGACCATTAGATTTATTATTGACAGGTACTATATTCATATGATACAAAAGATATTCCTTCTTGAAAAAATAGGTCCAAATTGCATTGTTTGGCATCTAGAACAACTTATAGTATTTTATGCCTATAGTATTTTATGCCTAAGAAATGTAATGATAATGTTCATTTTATTCTTAATTTTTTCTGCTGTGGACCCTTCTATGCTTTTTTAGATATGTCAGAGGAGCCTTTCAATATCTGGGGAACTTGGCATTCAACACTAAAAAGTGGATCCAAAGATCCAGGAATGACAGGTGAAGTGACATTTTAATCTTCATTGCATTTATTTTTAAAATAGATTTCCCTTATCTCTTCCTTGCTATTCTCGTGGTAACTGCTTGCAAACCACTATTCAGAAAATACTGAAAAGAGAAGAAAGGGACAAAAATGTAAAAACAAAACAAAACAAAAATCTCTCCTTGGGCTTTCTGCCCCAATATCCTAAGCTTGGACAGTAGTTCATTGATGTTCTTTTCCTAAAGCCTAGGTTTTCTTGGCAGTTTATATAGTTTGGCAGCTTAGCCTGTGAGAGGCTAAGCATATGTCTGGAGTAGCCATATAAGCAGTGCCACCATCCAAAAGAACCTGCCATCACTCTTGCTAGGGAGATTTTCTTTTCAGATACTAATAACTGAAAGTGTGTTGTGCTTTTTCAGATACAGAAGGAAGTGGTGAAAAAGAAAAGAGCAAGCAGCTAATCCTCAAGGCAATTTTATAAACTAACTCCATTTCTTGCCTTTTTGGCTCCAGGTTCCCATGGTGACATTTTTGAAAGCAGCTCCCTCCGACAGAGGCCCTGTTCCCTTTCTCAAGGGAATCTATCCCAAAATTGGCCTCAGTGTCCAGGGAGCCCCATTGGGCCGGACAGTGGCACTCAGGTAATTCAGAGGACTCGGACAGCAGCCATCGTGGAGCAGAGCAGTGTCCACCTTCCGGTGACACATGTCTGCAGCACCCCCCACATCCAGGGCAGTGGCAGGGGTCCCAGACGGCCTGCAGCTAGATCTGAGCCACACTTGTCCCGAAACAGCACTGAAGACCTGCAAGAGGGCAAGATGGATGTGGCCTGGCTGCAAAGCCGGGCCGACATTGTGTACCAGAGACCTCAAGAGAGTGGCAGAGATGACAGGCGCCCTCCTCCTCCTTATCCAGGATCAGGGAAGCCTGCCATGACTTCGGGCCAGCAGCATGAAGTTTCAGGAACAGCTACAGAAGAAGGAGGCCATCAGGCCTCAGGAGAGCATCCAGCCAGGCCAAAAAAACTGAGCAGCACTTACTCCCCCTCAGCTAGTGAGCAGGTCAGGCAGAACTTGGGGGAGGCCAGTTGGCTTGACTGGCAGCAGGAGCGGTGGCAAATCTGGGAGCTCCTGTCAACTGACAACCCCGACGCCCTCCCGGAAACCCTGGTATGAGCTTGCCAGCAGCTGGAGCCCCCCCCCCCCCCCCCCCCCCCCCCCAAAAAAAAACAAAACATCCTTTTCTGGCCCAGACCCAGAAAACTTGCCAATAGACAATTGGACATTTACTCGTTTTTCTTTTTCCACACTTTGAAAAAAATAACACAAGTGAAAAATCAGTCCACATACAACAGAGACACTTCTACCCCTTGCCATTTATGATAAGATTCTATTGCATAGCCAGCCATAGAAGAAACAAATGAACAAACAAACATGACAACATCCACTCTCAAAACAACACACATTGGCTCTATGTAAAATCAAACTCTTGCTTTGGTATAGCTTAATTGTATTTGTGTGTCTTCAATTTTTACTATTGTATATTCTGTAACAGAGTATGTATGATGATCAATATGATATATTCACAGAGAAGATGGTACAATTTTTTTTAAATCACTGCACTTATATTACACCATGAGATATATTAAGCAACGAGATTCTATAGTGTTCTAGAATATGCACTAGTGGGTTTCTGTGCTTTTGCCATCGCTTTTTTAACTGGGGACAGCCCTCCCTTCAATGCCTAAGGAAAATACTAATCAAACAAAACGGAAGCCATATTTTTATATAGTATTGAGAAACAAAAGTAAATGTCACCGAATGCTTTTTTCATAGTGAATATGTTTTAAGGAAATATTAAATTTGATACATTATGAAATATATTTTTAGAATTTGTTTAGAAAGGACTCAGTGTATCAAATGAGAGCATGGTAGTGCGTAACAGTATTTAAGAAAGTTTCCACCCCATTCTAGGTTAAATTCAAATTTATATAGCCCTTATAATATATATTTATTACCTGTACCTTTGACGTATTTTTGATAACTACAAACTTGAATCCAATTATAAAATTTTAAAATCCAAATACATATTCAAATTATACATCATGTTCCCCCCTCTGACCTGTTATCAATTTTAACCCAATTACAAGCAATTCCTTGTAAAGTAAATCCTGCTGGGAGGGGGGGCAAAAACGTTACACTTTGTGCTTACATTGTGCCAAAGCCTGAGGAGACGTGTCTTTGATAATTTTATGTGTATTGTATGTGTTACTACCATACTTCAGCAATTTGAAGTGTTACAACTGCAAAATCACTTTTGACCAGCAGTTGGCAGTTTTCTTCAGTATTTCCTTTTTTTTCTACATCAGAAGTGTCAGCATACTATACACAAAGATTATATATATATATATATATATATATATATATATATATATATATATATCCTTAACATCCATAATATGCTACTACTTTTAATTTTCATGTTGGTCATGAAATTTTTCAGTGGTGTTTCTTAAAATTTTATCTTGTGCCATGATGAATAAAAAGTTAAGCAAAGATTCATTGTCAGCCTTTAAATCTATTGAAGAAACTCATACCCCATTCCAGATGGATAATTCACTACTCCCAAATTCAAGTTTATTACATATTGGTAATTCCATAAATACACACATACAGTTGGAGAGCTAGTTTCTAAAATAGCCAGTAGCTTGGGACACCAAGTCAGTGATATTGAAATATGGAGATATCGATAATGATCTCTTGCAAGTAAAGGTTGGTTTTCCTGTCACCAAGAAAGTGATTTCATACTTGACTGAAACTTGGGTTTCATGCCTCTTGGGCAGGTGTCACTCAACGCAGTCGTTGAAAGTTGTGTCTGCTCCATAGGCCTCAGATGCCTGATTGGCTCTAGATATGGACTACCGTGGTTTATACTTTGGGGCTAGTTGAGAGACCTTTGGGCTGTCACTAGGCTCAGCACTTCTGATATTGGCTCAGAACATGGAAGATTGTCCAAAGACCTCAGTTCTTCCTTACAGACCCCACACAGACCAAAGATATACCCAAGACTCACGGTGGACGCTATTTGATTGTGACACTCAAGTGGCCTTTCTGTGCCACTCACCTTTATCCCAATCCTTTGAATTTGACCATGGTCTAACAAATCCTTTCTCCTATTCTGAACCTCCAGATACACTGCACCTTCCTTATTAACATATTTATACTGTCAAAGGGCTGTTATTTAAATCTTCTAAATCAGATGAATCAAAGTTTACATACACACACACACACACACACACACACATATATATATATATATATATATATATGTATGTATGTATAAATATGTGAATGGAAGGTATAACCATCAGTTACTAGATCTAAACTTGACAATACAGAAATCAGTTCGATATTCATGCCCTCTACTTCTTTTAACCTCTGTGTCCATATCTTTCACTTCTTTGGAAAAAGTGTTTCTTGGGTGCCTTTATCACATTGTAAAACTGCTGCTTTTAAAACACACATGAGGACTGTAAAGATGGCTCAGTGGGTAAAGTTCCAGAACCCAAAATAAAAGCTGGACAAAGTAGCACAGGTCTCAACATCCCAGTATTCCTACAGGAGGATGGGTGGTGCAAACAGGGGAAATCATGGAAGCACATGGGTCAGCTAATCTGACCTACATGGGGTTAAACATGAGAGAGTATCTCCAACAAGGTAGACAGCAGGGACTAACACCCAGGGTTTTCCTCCAACCTTGTTATATGTGCCATGACACATTCCCCCAATAGGGACATGATTATACACATACAAACAAATGTAGAAATAATTTTTTAAATATTTTAAAACACATGGGACCTCAAACTTGTGTAGAAATTGAGGCTGTTTATAATATGTGATATGATGCCTGAAAAGAAAAACAAATGTCAAACTGGACAAAACACCTTTACTAAAATGTTCAAGTCACCCATTCCTCATTAGCAAAGGGCAAGAAAAAACCTGCCAAATGTCACAGATACCTTCATGTCTATGAATACTGAATAATTTTGTTTTTGTCTCTGGCTAAAGGGCCAGAATGGTAATGATAGAAACAGCCAAATATACATTTGTTTTGACCCCTCTAAGCAGTTATTAACATAAGCTTGCTGTGGGTTTTGATAGAAAAAAAATAGAACAACCATTTTATGCCAATAGGAGTGTGCAAATTGAGGAAATTTATAAACAAATCCGGCATGCTTCTTTTCTAATGCACATTTTAATACACATCTGCTTGGCAGAGAAACAGTACTAGAGATACTAGAAACAAAGAAGAGATCCATTGTTGTAGTATATTTAGAAAGGTGTTAGGTTATGTAATGTTTATTATTAACCCTATGATTATCATGACGTATTATCTAACCTGCAATCACAAACAATAAGACACAGATATCTGTTAGATTTTAATTGCTTTATTTACCTGGGAGAGAGCAGATATTCCTACCTACACTATTTAAATCACCTCACCATCCATCTCCCATCCTTTATCCAATGTCATTCTCCTTAATCATCCTATCTTCCATCCATAATCTTTTAAATATTTGTCTTTATTCTTCATCTGGACCTTTTACACTATTATTGGAGTCCTTCCTCCTGGCCCCATGAGGTTTCTTCTCCAGGCTAAACCATCATGGCATCCTCCTTCCTCTTTCTCTCCCCATCCATCTGTCCTTCCGGTGATTCCTCGTAGGATTCTTCTGTCCTCCAAAGCCTGGGAAACTAGCCATGCCTACCCTATTATGCCCTGCCCAGGTATAGGCCATTTAATGAACTGATCATGTATAATGTTTTAGGCAGGTTTACACAAACAAGGATGGGTGTATCCAGTGGGTAGTAACCCGGTCTTGAGTACCAGTAATTAGCATTAGATAGACCAACCTCTAATTCTTCTTTTCTGTCTAAATAAAAAGCCATTTTTTATACAGTAAGAGTAATTATGAAACAGGTATAAAAACAAGTAGCGAAGGCTAACATATATAATGTGTAGTGTAAATGTATTTGACAATCTTGAAGAAAATATCTATCTATAAGGGTCTAAGGTTTTGTACCTAAGTTATTTTATAGTTCGTATCTATCAACCTAAAAACATCTATCTAGACCTAAAACATCCTTTTAATTACTAAGCAACTAAACTAATTATAACACTATGACTATCTGGTCTTCAACACCATCAGAGACTTGATAAGGAATAAAATTGATTGCTTGAGCAAATAGGAAGCGCATTCCAAAAAATCAGGAAATAATAGAGACAGTTTGTTGCCTGAACAGCCACCTAAAACTCTGTCTAACATTGGAGCATCATCTTCAGCCTTCTGGCTCAGTATATTTGACAGACATATATGTGATACAGGAAGTGTTTAGGACTTAGCCTGTCTTGGCAGAGTTCAGCAGTCAACCTGGCCTTCATTTGAGCTTTCCAATTTTAGGCAGAATTCTATCTGTCATGAAACGAGAGCATTTTCTTTTTGCAAGGGTGGCTGGTTTGCCATATTTGAAGCCATCTCCATATGGCGGTTTTTCGATGCTCATCATCTTCTTTGAGGTAGGCTAGGTGCTGTCAGGAGAAGAAACCTTACCATTAGCTGCTTACAAAGACAGTGTAAAATTCAAAATAACAAACTTTTCCTTAATGTTAACTACCGTGTAAGTTCTTTTTTTCTTAATAATGGATGTTTTGTCCTAAGTGATCTAAAGGTTGGCTTCACATCAATTTTAGATTTATGTAATAATGATGTCACAAGCTTAAAAAATGCCAGCCAATTTCCACAGGAGAACTAGTGCTAATGGCCATTTTGGATTAAGAAATATATTCTGTTGTTCAATGTAAGGAGCTGAAATTAGGCTGGGAGACAAACATGCAAACTTCATGCCTTCTACATAAAAAAAAATTAAATGTTGACTTAATTAAGGTCAACTGCTCTGGTAGCTGGTTATCCTTTCGAATGTGAGACATTTTCAGAAGAGACAGGTGTCAGTTTTGCCTGATGCAAAAAAGGAACAGGGCTTACAGGTGGCAAATTAAAATAAACAAATAAATAAATAAAAATCTCAAAAATTACAATTCATATGTTTAAAAGGCAGAACCATCCATACCATATCACAAGACGGGCAAGCCAAATAATAGCCACAACCAATGTGAAAACCCAGGAGAAT